AAAAAATGGAGGAGCTGAGAGTGAAATCCAGGAGTGTATGACTCTAGAGTTGAAGGAATTAACAAGGTGCTCTGCTGAAGAACAGAATCAGAAGTCCCCCAAATACAAGCAGCTGGCTGTTGACCTAATGGCTGAGGTAGAGACTACTCATCTCAAGGCCGAGAGTGCCTATGACCATAACATCCTGCCAATATGTAATGGCATGGATGCCAAAAAGTACTTGTATGTACTCAGCCAAAAGATCAAGTTAGAGATAATAAGATGTCACTGGAAGAGGAGGTTACTTGCCCATTGTTTCTAAAACTGGATAATATTAATTAAATCAATAACATGAGTCTTTTGGTATTATTAATCACTTAAAAAACAGGATATAATTGAATAGAGAGCACATGAAGTCTACTAGTATCAATTTAGGTTCAAATTTGGACAGGTCCCAGGGTTGCTTCCATCTCTGATTACTTTTCATGAATACTGGTAAAAGAAAGGACTTAATTGAAAATGCTCAAAATTTAAAAAACAAAAAACCAAAACACCTTTCCCATATTTTATCACTGTAGAAAGTTACTTTTGGAAAAATCACTGGACCAAAATGGACCTTAGCAGTCATCTAGCTCAATTTTCTATCCTTCATCTTACCTATAGCAGTCTCCACAAGCAGTATCTACTTTCTGTCTGCATTCATAGCCCTGGGCTCCCCTGAGGCAAACCATCCCACCATTAAGTAGCCAACGTATATTCTTTCCTTATTTAGTTGAAATCTGCCTTCCTATAAACTTCCTTTTGGCCCCCTTGAAAATATAGTTTCTGCCCCTTGAAAGTATAGTTTATATCGATTTTTTTCTTCCTGACAGTCTTCCCTAAACATTTGGAAACACCAGGTCCTCTTTCTGATGGTTTCTTATAAGCTAAACATCTAAGTTACTGTCCTTAATCTTAGGCAAGGGTGCCAGTGTTCCCCAAAAGCTGAATATTTAAGTCTCCAGATAAAGTCTGATGAGCTCCCCAAAGTGGGGGCTATTCTTATTGATGGTGTGGACACTGACATTCTTTACATACAAGACTATGCTGGTTCCCTCAGCATTTATAACACGGACGATTCATTTTAAGCTTGATGGTACATGAAAACTTTTAGATTTTTTTCTCAAGTGAGCTGTTGTTGAACAGGGTGTGAACTCCCAATCTGTGTAAATGACCATAAAGATATGTTCATAGAATAATTTATTTTGCTAGCTATGATCCCACTGGTATCAGTATGGAATTGGTGGGAATCCAATTCTCACCACCTTTATGAAAATTACTCTACATATTTTCTGGGATCATCTGGCACATGCAATCCAAAAAACATTTGTTACTTACTCATTAGCATTCAAGCTAGCTGTGGCTCTGATGATCATGTAGCAGAGTGTGAGAGCACTGAGGAGGCCAAAACTGGCAATAATAAACCATTCTTCTGTTGACAAAGGAAAGGGAGGAAATCACTCTGGGGAGAAGGTTAAGTCAAATTGATGTCAACATTTCCCTCAAATGCAACGAAGCAGACGTCAACGGAGGTGTAAGCCAAGACTGGCTCAAGGAAGTGAAGCAGGAGGAGGTTTGCCAGAGAGCTACTAACTGGAGAAGGTTAGTGGAAGTACTGGTAAAAGCTGCAAGGGAGAGAGGAAAGCATGGCCCAACCATTTCTTCCAGTTTAGGTTCTGAGGTACGTGAGAAGTATGGCCACCAAAAATTGTGTAGGAAAAATATGTATATAAAATTGCACATGGACATATTTATTTTCATTGGTAACTGAAATGACGATATAACCACACTTATAACCATCTTTCAAATTTCACTTTGTCATTTCTGCATGGTTGATTCACTCATTCCTAGCTAGCTAAACGCTCAGAAATACGGCATAGTGGCTCTCAAAGGTCTTGTGGGCACTTCAAGCAGTCTCCAAGTTTGCCTTCCAAGATACCACATCTACAATTTTTTCTCTTATGTGCAGGTTTTCACAGGACATTAAAAGGATATCTCACTGGGTATAAAGAAAATGAGTACCACCCTTTATGAGTCCATTGTGGGAAGCAACACTTGTTTTTCTGGTGTTGAAGTGAAGTAAGAAGGGTAAGTGACTGACAAGGTACTCAGCTCACCAAATGGTTGAAAACCTCTGGTATACAGAGATCTAAGGCTATCTATAGTTCTCTCTATGGTCCGTCAGTCAGTCAGTCTCTCTCTCTGCTTCTTCCTCTCTCCATCCAGGAAGTCAGTTATTATTTCCCCTTAACTTTAATATTCAGAAAACATTTATTTGGGACCTCAAAATCAACCTGAGAATCATTATGACTTCCTAAAGTCTTTTTTTTTTTTTGGTGGTACTAGGGATTGAAACAGGGGCATTTAACCACTGAGTTATATCCCTAGTCCTTTTTATTTTTTGAGACAGGGTCTTCATGAGTTGCTTAGGGCCTTGCTAAATTGCTGAGGCTGGCTTTGAACTTGCAATTCTCCTGCCTCAGCCTCTTGAGCTGCTGGGATTGTAGGCATGTGCCACCATGCCTGCTCCTAAAAGTCTTAAGTAGAAAATATTTCTTAAGAGTATGCACTAACTAAGGCTGGTATTACTCAGTAAAATCCCCTTGATGTCTGTAGTAAGGCGAGAAGAAACATTTACACTTGGAACGCCAAATCTTCATGTGCAAAAGTTGTGTGTAACATGGTGTTTCTTTATCTGAGTTTCGAAAATCCTAAAACTGTATGTAAAATTGTGTATGCATTGACACTTTTCTAGAAAAAAGATTCTGGTTTTTAAGGTAATGACCTTAAATGGTTAAGACAGATTGCTCTTCATGATTCCAGGATGCTGAATTTGTTCTACATGCATATCTTTGTCCTCATCGAAATTTATATTATTAAAATGCTTAGTAAACTCTTAGTGCAGCCACTGCCTTTTGGATTAGTTTTCTTCATCATCAGATTCAAGTTTTTTATTTATATCAAAATGAACCTCTGAGAATTCATGTAAAATCCACCACTTTAAACTATATATTTTAGGTTAGAAATATGTATACTGAACCTTTAAAAAATCAAGAGATGAAAGGTTATCAACATCAAGGAGCTTAGCACAGCATTCTTTTTGTCATATTAAAAACTTTTTTTTTTTTTTTTTTTTTTTGCCTTTTGAAAGAGCTGGGGATCAAACCCAGGGCCTTGCATGTGTTAAGCATGCTCTCTACCACTGAGTTACATCCTTAGCTCATATTCTTAGAGACTTTTGTACATGATATAAGCAGACTGACATTATTTATAACTTCGGCTTTATTTTTGTCTTTTTTTTTTTTTTTTGCTATGAGTTCACTTACAAAAACTAGTTAAACGACGGAGGAAGTAAACATTCATAATAATACCCAGCAGGCTCAGGAGTACTTAGCAATGATCTACTGCAGCCAGAACCTTGGTAGCCTCTGTTCTCCTAACTACTTATTTAGCACAGTGCCTTGCACACAGTGGGTGCTGGGTGAATGTACTGTAGTTGGTATGGTGCTACAGGGATTTGGAGGGAAAAGCAGAGGTAATCTGGATCTAGCTTAATCATACAAACTTTACTTATTGGCATCATGTGTAAATTCTGCTAAAGGCAATTAATTTGGTACATGAAGTAATATTTTATCATCAAAAGCATAAGATTTTGAGGACATTTCTGCATACAATATTAGAAGGTCTGTACTTTATGTAGTAGTAGGTGCTCAATAAATGTCTAATCAATGAAGGACTTACAAAAACTCAATAAACAAATAACCTTCAACTCCTTTATTATTATTAGATCCAATTTTTAAAATTTAAAAAATCATAAAAAATGAATAAAATAAAATCTAGATCATAAAACTTCAATGTCGAAGTAGGAAAACCATGAAATGCTATTAAAACAAATCACTGGGAAATGGCAAGAAATGAGCCAAACCATATCAAAGAACAGTTTTACTTATTTCAAACTGCATGAAGGATTTGGGAGTTCAGATAACTGATCAAATAAAACCTGAGAAATAATTTTCTAATAATTATCTCTGGTTGGTTCCACAAACCACATGAGTCTTAATACATAAAGAAGACTTATTCTGTAACTATTTTCCCCCATTTTACTGACTCCCAGTTGCAAGTGCAGCCCCATCAGCTTCAGGGATTGAAGCTCTAGGCAAGGCAACAGCATAAATTGGAAAAGGCAGCACCAGAGCAGCGACAAGAGATGGGTGACAGGTTGTTAGATGGAAATTGCGCGTAAAGAATGAAATTGAAGAAAAGAGTTGGCTTGTTACTGGGTGAATGTCTACAAAGTCCATACACACACCATTGGCCCACTCACACCATATGTAGGCATTCCCTTAAAACACTTTGTACATTTATTTTCTATCAACAGTTCAACAATCAAGATGCTTATAATGAGCTCAGAACATTTCTTTTGAGGCAGGTTACCCTTTGGCTTTTCTTCCTTCTCATGTACAATTATAGCAAAGGGTAAAGTGCCAAGAGACCAAACTTCTGAAAAAAAAATATAAAATAAACAATGACATGCCATCTCAATTGTTCCTGAAGCCTTGAAATTTTAGGTTTAAATTCTAAATTAGGTTTTTACTAAGTGGCCTGAAGCGTGGGAGATCAAGAGCACCAGTGCTCAGCTACCTAACATACCAGCATTGATGCTGCTGGCCTACGTCACATTCCAATGTCTCCGTAACTGTTTGCAATGCAAAGATTTCAAAACAAGGTTTATAAAGCAGCTACTAAGACAAACCTCTGAACAACTGTTCATCTAGTACAGCTATTTCTATTAATCAAACACCAATACACAAGCATCTTATTATAAAGTTCCATTATTCCAAACACCTGTTTTAACAAAAGTAATTACCTTCTCAGTTACAAAGTTGCTGGCCCAGGTGGACTCATCTCTCCCCTTGGCAGTCACTGCATGCCCAAACCAAGCAGCAACTCGCCCTGTGCCTGGGTAAAGGGTCCCCACTTACTTGTTACTGCAATGTTGATTTCTCCTGTTCTAGGAGTGAGCTCCCCATCCTGAGGAAGAGGTGATATCCCCGAAGTTCGAAGTGGCTCAAGGCCAAGGGAGGTGTCATTGGCGAGGTCACCTAGGGCTGATCTTCTGTTAACTGCTTGGGTTCTGGTGAGCCTTTCCATATCAAATGCTACATTATCAGTACATGGCAGATTTGGCTGCAAAATATTTCCAGGTTAAAAATAATTGTAAAAAAACAAGTTCTTTCATAGAACCCTGAATGTCTGATACCCTATTGCAAGGACTTCACCAAGTTCTTTCCATGCAATTTCTTCTCATTTCACTTCCTATCTATGTTTTCTACTCTCACCTAAAAGATTTTCTTCAAAAGGACCAGTTCATTTCCCAAAAATGTCACAAAGGAAAACCAAAATCTACTGTAGAAACTTGAGAAAACTGGCCAATGATTTTTTTTTTTTCCCCAAAGATAACCCTTTATGGACATGACTTGTATGCACAGGGAATCATAATCATTATTATAAGGCTGACTAATTAATATTCAATTTAACACCTTTATTTTATTTATTTTTACGTGGTGCCGAGGTTTAAACCCAATGGCTATATATGCTAGGCAATATATGGTTGAGTTACAACCTAACCCCCTAATATTCAGTTTAAAAAACAATGTACTATATTACTTTGATTAATGTTAAATGTTAATGTTAAGGAACAGCTGGAATATAAAATGCCCCTCTCATCTTAAAGTAGATCAAAGTTGAAAAGACTTTTAAACTGAAAGAAAATGATCTATTTCAAAATCTAAGCAACTAATCCTGAAGGAGAGGTACACAAGTACTTGGGGCCAAAGTCTACCATTTAAAAAGTAAGTATAAAATTCTTCTTTTTTGTACCAGGGATTGAGCTCAGAGATGTTTAATCACTGAGCCACATCCTCAGTCCTTTTTTATATTTAGAGACATGATATTCCCAAGTTGCTTAGGGCCTTGCTAAGTTGCTGATACTGGCGTTGAACTGAAGATCCTCCTGCCTCAGCTTCCTGAGCTGCTGGGATTACAGGCATGCTATAATCTTTTATATAGCTAAACTATATTATCTCTGACAGGATCTCTGGGGACTGAGGATAAATGGGGCATTACTGTCCAAATGTATAGCACTTAAACTGTGATTTAATAGTATATTTAAAATAGGACTACTTAAATTTCTTTGGATTGCAAAGCTAAAACGAGGAGTTCATCTGTTCAACCAAACTCAGCTGTTGAGAATATTCATTTATTATATATGTATTTTTAAAATATTTTTTTAAGTTCTAGATTTATGTGGTGCTGAGGATCGAATCTAGTGCCTCACATGTGAGGCAAGCGCTCAACCACCGAACTAGAATCCCAACCCTCATTTATTATATTTTTGCAACCAGAAAGTATTTTCCTCTAAAAAAGCACAATCCTGGATATATACTTCTTTTAAGGAAATAAAGGAAGTCTCTAAAGTTCTTGGTAAGTCAGTGTTGGTCTTTGCACTGTCAGAGCCAATCTCTATGCCAATAGTTCTGTCAAAACTCTTTGCCAGGTTGTTAAAAGTTCTTCTGAATCTTTTGTAATCTATAAGAAAGGTACTTGTTGGACTAACAAGGTTATCTGAAAAAAAAAAAAAAAGCCAGTGTATTCTTGTGAGACTGTCATGTCTCCTATTATAACAAATACGTTATGTTGTATTACAATTAGATAAGATACTATGCAAAAGCAATGACAAAATTGGAAACATACCACAATTCCCAGAGCCTTCAAAATATTAAGTTTGCACATAGGACAGGTACAATGTTCACTAAGCCATGGATCCACGCATGATTTGTGAAAAACATGCCTATAAAATAATGGAGAATTATGTTATAAATTACATACTGAAAAACTGTTAGGTCAAAATGAAAACAAATGAAATTTTAAGTTAGTTTGTTTTTCCTCCTTTTAACACGTTTACAATACCCCAAAGACAAATACTGGAGGTTTATAAAAATATAACTTCTAGGGCTGGGGCTGTAGCTCAGTGATGGAGCACTTGACTAGTATGTGTGAGGCTCTGGGTTCGATTCTCAGCACCACATATAAATAAATAAATAAATAAATAAAGGCCCATCAACAACTAAAACACACACACACACACACACACCCTTTACAGAAAATCTAAACCCAATCTCTTGTATGAATAGTACTATGTGATGCGAACTAATGAGTAGGAGATCATTGTTTGGACGTTTTTATTTTGCAGTCGTGGGGATAGAACCCAGGCCCTTGTGCATACTAGCTAGGCAAGCACTCCACAACTGAACTACATACTGATCCTATTTATTTATTTATAAATAAAAAAGAGACAGGGTCTCATTATGTTGTCCACGCTGGCACCAAACTCCTGGGTTCAAGCCATCCTCATGCCTTAGCCTCCTATGTAGCTGAGACTACAGGCTCACACCACTGTACCCAACTTGGACTTTTTATCCTACCAAATTCCAAAAAAGACTTGAGGAAACCTAGCAAATTTATTAAGAATAATGGTATTCATACTTTGTAAATCAGTTATTCTTCTTATAATAATAGCTTATATAGAAAAATGGAATTTTGAAAACATATTAAGCCAGGGTTAAAATCAAGAGTTTTCTGTGTAAATTATTAATTAGTTTCATGGAACTCAATCTATGTTAAATATTTGTAGAAGTCACAGGGCAGCTGGAACTATTTTAAGGAGTGAACTGTGCCTAAGAATCAAATAACACTTGGCAAATTTCAGCTGAAACTTTGTGTGTGTGTGGGGGTGGGTAGACATGGGTGATTTCCTCTCACGTTCAGAACAGAAAATTACATCCTCGGGACAAGAAATAAGTCAGCCACAGAAGGGTTTGAATTCTTTGAAGAGGAATTTATGCCCTTCAGAGGGAGAAATGATTTTGAGGGAGCTACAGAGATTATTCTGCAAGCTCAAGAACCCCTGACTGAGAGCTCTGAGAAGCTGTAATTGAGACTGAAAGAAGCTTGGGGTCCTTGACAAATTGGGAAAGGAGTAGACACCAATACAGACTTTCAGGACACTTTTGGAAGACACACTAAAGTCTTTAAGTTTAGAGTAAGGGAAATTTTGAGAATGATACTAAATTAGACCATGGTATGTTTTAAAAACCCTGATTGTTAATTTATAACTTAAACGTTATGATTGCTGTTTTGAAAAATGCAGTTTTGGTTTAAAATGGGGTCTTTTTTTGGGATTTGGAGTAAATATTCATGCATAATAAAACTTCAGTCAACAATATATACTGCTCTTCCATCACCACTTGATGACCTTGTATCATTTAAGGACAAAAATAAAGATTGTGAAGTCTGAATTTATCCATGTAGTCTAAAACTCGCAGATAATGCATTTATCCAAAAACTTATCATACTTGAGGGCTTTTATTTTAACCTTAAGGTTTTTACTTAAGAGTTTGAGTGCCAGTAATCTGTAAGGAAGACCTAAATTAGTTTAATACATATAAGGTGTTATGCCTGCTTCTTATTACTTGTATCCATGTATGGGGAGTATTTTAGAGTGAGATGAAGAGTTCCTTACTGCAGGGCTCAACCCCAGGGGGCATCCTCACTTTTCAGCAGTCAAGGTTGGCTGCCATCCAAACTAACTTAAGACTAGAACAAGGCTTTAACCCTTTTGGGGGATAGATCACTTTAGATCTGATATAAATTATAGAACCTCCTCATAAAGTCACAAGGGTGCCTAATATCTTACATGTACTTTTGGGGGGCTTATAGACTTCTGAAGGTTTGGCTAATAAACAGGAGGGAGTGGAGTGGCTGGGAATATGTTCCAAGTCAGTTCTGCATAGGGTGGACAATGGGATTTGGCTGGCTGATAGGTGGTAGAAGAGATAAGGTTATGGGACTCTGACCAGGGCCACTTTGGTGCTGAAGTGGGAGGTATGCAAATGGGTGGAGGCAGCTAATATGGCCAACTGTGGATGAAAACCCTATTTTAAGCAAGTAGCAGCTACCTGGGGTAAACAATGGTTTGGCTCTAGCACTCCCTGCTCTGGCTGCATTTCTATTACTGGTTATTCATAGAGAACAAAATGGCGTGACTCCCATATTTAATTTCTAACTCTGCATGAATTGAGTGTTCTCTACCTATCTGTTCCTTTAAGTGAACTCATTAAATGAATCTTTCTTATGTTGTGGTTCTTGAGTAAATCTTTCCTTGCAGGTTTGCAGATCTGAAAGAAAAAGTGCCCACTCTCTGTTTTATTAGACAATTACAATCTCTCCTCTATGTTATGAGGCACTGCAACGAAAGACAACAGACTAATGGGTTCTCTAGGGACAAATTAAGAAAACCTTCCATAGCTAGCTCAGAATCTGAAAGATTCTGAAAGATTCATTTTAAAAAAGCTCCTTTTAGCTATTTGCACATCCCCACACCCCAAGTCAAATAATCACCCCCAAACTCTGCTTCCTCTGACCTAGAACTTTTCTTTTTAGATTCCCTACCAGCTCAGCTCCTGTGCATCTCAACCCAGATCTTCAGTATCAACTCCTTCAGCACACTCCTTGCTTTTGGAGACAAAACTGAGCACTTGTTCTTTGTAGTCATCAGTCCTCTGACATAGTCCCCCCGCTTCCTACCATCATCTTTATGAACAAGTACACAGAGCTTGATGCCTTCTCTTCTTCATCACCTACTCTCTTCATCTTCTTGCTTTTGCATCCTCTGCTTTATTGTTTCATCAAACCAACTATGGCCTTTCCCTCCCTGCTGCTATAACCATCAGACCCTTGATGGACTACACTTTCTGCCTCCCCACTGCCTCACCTGAAAGCTGTGTGGTCAGTAATGGGAAAGGTGGACTTGGTCTAACTCATGAGGTTATCTGGAACAATAAATGAAAAACTATATATGGAATACTGAGAGAAGTATATCAAGGGCTGTGTGAATGAAAGGTACATTAATTAAACAGGCAAAGCAATGTAAATATTTTACATGGCATCCCAGTAAATGGTAGAATGCTCTTATGGCACACCCTGGGCCCCAGAACATCTGGTGGGGAGCCTTTTCCCTAGCCAGAGGGTGGATCGTGGACATTTAGAGATTTCAGAAGGTGGCACCTGAGGCAAGTTAAAAAGGAAACCACTTCCATTGTTAAAATGAAAGACTTCAACAACAAAAAAATACATAAAAGCAGAAAAGGCCCTAGCACATTTAGGGCTGAGTCTTGTACTGCGATGGGAAGCAGGTGATGTGCTGAGGAGCAATGAAACGTGAAAAGGAGCTTCAATCAGAGCTTCAACCAAAAAAGTTCTTTATTCCTATAAGAAATACTTTGGGATACAGAATGCAAAATATATAGAACATGAAAGAAACAAAACCTGTAATACTGAAATACAGTGCCCTTCCCCTTTCCTATTTCTCACATAGCCATAAACTAGAGAGGTCAGAAACACAGCAGGGCTGGGGTGAGGAGTCTACATTGAAGGTGAGTTGTTTCACAGCTCTGCAGCCTCTGGGTGCCGTGTTAAGGACCTGGCAAACAAAAGGATCCAAGATTATTAAAAGTCAGAAACAAGAATTCCTTCCCCTAGCCAGGACTGACAGTAGATACATAGAAGCAGGCCCTCCCTCCAAGGTGGGGGTGATAGAGCAACTCCTCAACAGTCAGCAGCCAGTTGACTGACCCATTTTAGTTCCCAAGCTAACATCTTAAATGTGTATTTCTCCAGGCTGCAGCACTCTACTTCTAAAAAGAGTATTTTTACCCACTAAAAATTTTGTGGCTAACCTTTAAATAAGATGACTGTTTGTTTCTAAGACATGCTGGCTAACGTCCAAAGGATGATCAACTGTAATCAACTGATATAAACAGGAGGTCCCCAAAGCATAGCCAACTGCCATCTGTCCACAGTAAATTAGTGCAACAGAAAATGAAAAGTAAAGGTCATGCGACAAAAAACCCCAGCAATCCATGAGAGGTCTGATATCTATAGATAGAAAGGCTTAGTTCAGTTTCCAGAAAGCCTTTCTTATTAAAAATGAAGGACAAAAAGACACAATGCATCTGGTTGACTTTATCCCTTACTGAGGTAGAGAGGCAGCAAGGACAAATCCTTCCAAAGACAGCTATGAAGGGGAGTCGCTATAGGCAAGTACATGGAAGGTGATAAATTTGAAAGAGTTTTTGAAGCTGGAATAGAAAATACTTGACCATGATTAAAGCTGATGAGCAGAGACAGAAAGAACAAAACTGGAGGGAGCAGATAGTCAGAGAATCAATACAGCAAGGTCTCAGGCAGAAGGCAAAGAGCTGCAGACAGAGGCCCACGTAGAAAGAGCAACACCAAACCAGAAGGGGGTTGCCTCCTCCATTCTGACAGGAGGTGTAAGTGTGGATGGCAGTGTGGGGGCAGGCACACTGGAAGTGAGGGAATCCAACCACTATTTCTCTAGGTGAAGTTTACTCTCTCAAAGCGAGGAGTAATGGGATAAGTTAGGTGTTTAAGGAGAATGAAAACACCTGGAAGTGCTGCTGTGATGAACAGGGAGGACAAATAAGGCAGGAGGAGGGCTGTGGGCAGTAACTGAGGCATAGCTGTGGAGTAGAGCCCTGCCTGTCCAATATGTTCAGATAACTATGGGAAGACAGAGAGGGACAGAGATGCATAATAAAGGAACCATGGCAGGCTTGGGTTCAAAGACCATAGAGACAAAAGAGAAAGGGAGGGTACTGGAGGTAAAAGGAGGATAAGCAGAGGCATGAGGTAAGAGATTATGCAAAGTAACTTGAGATACATCCACTGGAAAAAAGAAGCTTGGAGAAGATTTGCGGTAAAGAACATTTGTGTGAAGATATCCTCTGCATCAGTGGTCCACATCTGGAGACATTTTTCCTTGTCACAGCTGCATGGTGTGGATGCTTTTGTCCTCTAGTAGTTAATGGCCAAAAATATGCTAAATATTGTCGTGCACAAAATCACCTTTCCAGACCCCTCCTCCACACAAAGCATTATGTGATCCCAAATGTCAAAGCTGAGAAAACCTCTTGTAGGTCAAAGGTTGTCACAAAATATTGCATAATGTGGAGGGCTGGGATTGTGGCTCAGTGGTAGAGTGCTCGCCTAGCACTACATAAAAATAAAGGCATTGTGTTGTGTCCATCTACACCTAAAAAATAAATATTTAAAAAAAGAGTTTAAAAAAAATATTGCATAATGAGGAAATAATTTAATTTTTATTACACTTGAGGATCATACTGTTGTTACCACTTCAGTGAGGTAAAATGTTTTGCTGAGCCGGTTGAACAATATAGTTTAGAGAAAGAGGCCACTTGCCCAGAATTGAGGGGTAAGAGTAACATATAATAGCAGGCTCCAAAGCAACATGGAGAACTTTTGACACACAGTCAGGGCAGCAAGCATAGTCAAAAATAAGGGCCAAGACATACAAGTGAACAGTGCTGTTACTAGGGGTGCAAAGAAATTCTGTTAAGTTTGCCAAAACTTCTAATTTTCAAAAGAAGACTACAAATACGAAAGTTGAGAACCAGTTTTCCGGTTTCAGTCACAGAAACAGTTAAATCAACCAAGGCTTTAAGCTTTAATGGACAATGTGGTCTTATTAAAATAAATATGCCTAGGCTCCACTTAAGGTATTTCTGAAAGCTCCCCTATTGATCCTAATGTATGGTCAGATTTGGAAAGCTCTGGGTTAAGCTGAGGAAAATGAAAAACAAAAACAAACAAAAATCCTCAGAATAAAATTTTGGAAAAACCAGGCTTTAGGGATGGAGAGAATGACAGCAAATTTCCCAGAATCAACTATTTCAGGCTGAGACTCTCCTGAGGAAGACACTTTCATTTTAGTAATAACTAAATGGCTCCTCCACTCTTTAGGTACCATTTGGTTTCAGGGGATCCTGGGATGAGATAAGATGACAGAGAATTTGTAAAGTCTTGGCTTCTTTGTGGTCAAAGTTGGCATTTTCTGACTATGCTTTATAATTATCCTACTGATCCTTTTCCTGATTTGTATTTGTATATACATTTCCTTTAGCCTCATGTTTTAGATTGTAAATAATTAGAATAAGAAAAAACTGTCTTGATATAATTTAATTTTCTATAGGACAGCTTATGTTTAGTTTGATAGATTTTCTTTTATGTATAAAGTAGAATGATTTGACTTTTAGAATATTGGATTTCTGTTTTAGTAAACAGAATTATTCTTAAGTACTACAATTAAAAAACAACAATAATAACAAACCATCACCCAGATCATCCTAGGCTCAGAAGAGATTACTTTGTGATTAAGTAAAGTAAGATCAGTAGCCTTATGGAGACAACTATTCACCAATATTTTAATCATTCACATTTTGTATTATTAGAAGGCTGGGTCAAGCTATTTTGTGGATGTTTTTTAAAGAAAAGAGGGGAGAAGAAAGGAAATTTCTTAGGTGTAAGGCTTATCAGTAGTGTTCTTTTATTCTTTTCCAGATGATGCTTTGAATACTATTTTTTAATGTTTGCATTCCCTAATTTGGGATAAGATCATGGAAGACACTAACATGCTTAAAAAGAAAGCTCTTTTTAGGCATTAAAGTTTCAGTAAATGCTCTAGAGGGAGGTATGTGGTACTATGAGAGGAGTGCTGGCATTAAAGGTAGATGTATACCTCAGCTGTACCATTTTTTGAATTGTGTGATCTTAGAAACACTATTGGCTTCATTATCCGTCACTGCACAAGGGTACTGTGGCTTGAGTGCCCCACAAAGTTCCATTGTGATTAAAGGCTTGGTCCCCAGGGTGGTGAAGGTGAAGAATGGAATCTTTGAGGAATGGGGCACAGTGAAAGATCTTTCTTAGGTCACTGAGGGGTAAGAGGTATTTCTTGTGAAACCCCCTTGGCAGTTCCCACAAGAGTGTTACAAAACAAGCAAACTTGTCCTGTTTGTCTTCTCTCTCTTTGCTTTTTTTTTTTTTTTTTTTTGGTAGTGCAGCGGATTGAATCCAGGGCCTTGTGCATGTGAGGCAAGCACTCTACCAACTGAGATATATTCCCAGCCCATCTCTGTTCCTTTTTGAGAGGTGACCATTTGCTTGTATGTGGGTTCACTATGACGTGCTGCCATCTGCTACCACACTAGAGGCCAAACTCATGGGATCTACCCATTTATGGACTTTTGATCTTGGGCTTTCTATTTAGCCCCAAAACTGTGAGCTAAATAAACCTCCCTTTCTTCATAGGTAGATCATGCCTGATACTTGGTTCTAGTAACAAAATGTTGACTAATAAAAATGGGAGAACAACCACCTTTTTGGATTATTGGGAAGATCAGAGGAGACAGTAAATGTAACCTGCAGAGAGTACTTGACCCACAGCAGGCACAAAGCAAGTATCAGTCAGTCCTTCCACTGTGTATAATCTATGTTCAGAAAAAAAAAAGAAAAAAGAAATAAGAAAAAGAAATCCAAATCCCAGAGGAAGATGAACACTCTTTGGGTCTTGCTGTAGGGCCTAGTGAATTCTGATTGAAGATGCAGAGGAAAAGGGGGCTGTTTTTGAAACCCACAGAAATCACAGAATAAAAACTCTAAGGTTTGAATGTCTGGAGGTTGTGCCATATGTATTCCTTTTATAATACATGTGCAATCAGTTTTTGTGAGGCAAAACTGGTCTTCATTGACCACAACCTCCCAATATGAGCAGTGTGCAGCAGGGTCTTGGCTGGTTAGAAGAGCCGTTGATTAGGAGGCTCTCAGAAGCAAGTGGACACTCATTCTAAAAGGGAGAGACATACAAACACATTAATATCATTCTTTTCAAACATACAAAGCTGACATACTTGCAGGGCAGGATCCGAACAACATCATTCTGCTTATAGCTCTCTATGCAGACTGCACAATGATCAAAGTCTGGGTCTGTTTCCTGAAACGAAAAGCAAAGGATCACAATTCACATGCTACATGTATAAAATTCAGCTAAGTGTGTTTCTGTGGCAATTATGCTAAGCAAGAGGTTATAAAGTGAAAGGTATTAAAAATAACGTTTCCAATTGTTTAACAACACTGATATAAATTATACCTAAGCCAATCTTTTTCTTAAACTTGTATAATAATCAATACTACTTCTGTCTATGATATATCTTAGACTAAGAGTTCTAACTACTGTCAAGATTCACATCAACTGTCACCTTGGATCACCATTATCTCTGCCCACCTCCCATTTCCACTGTACTACTGGTTTATCTGAACAGGTTTCACAGAATACTGTACAAAAGCTGGGTCATCATCAGGAGAATCACCTCATCATCTCCTTAAGTACAGGCACAAAGATGGTGATCCCTCAGCAGACTGCTTTATAAAGACTTACCCCAGCTATGGGAACACTGCATCTGGTCACTGATTTGGGGCAGAGAAAGATAACTGGATCAACTTAATAATGGGTCTTTATCAAGAGTCAAGGAGCCAGGCATAATGTTATATACCTTTCATCCCAGCTACCTGGGAGGCTGAGGCAAAAGGATCACAAATTGAAGGCTGACTTGGGCAACTTAGCGTGACCTTGTCTTAAAATTTAAAAAGAGCAGGGTAAGTAGCCCAATGTTAACATGCTTGTCTAGCATGTTTAAGGTCTGGGTTTAATACCCAGTACCACCAAAAGAAAAAAAAATTAGGAAAAGTGTGTTTAGTCACCAGGATGATTTCCTTCCTCCTCAGGGCTGAAGAGGGTTCTATCTTAATTGTCATAAAACAGCATGCCAACAATCCAAGTCTGGAAAGGTGAACCTATTTGCTGTGTCATTGCCACTTTAACTGCAACTCAGTGGTACAGTTCTTGGCAAGTCTAAGAGGTACAAATTAAGATGTGTTGGCTTTAATAATTAAAAGAAAGATTCTATCCCTACCAAAACCAAGGGCCTCACACATCTTAGGTGAGTGTTCCTGCTTCAGCCTCTTGAGTAGCTGAGAGTATATGTGTGCACCACTGCACCTGGCTGGTAATATTGTTTGGTGCTAGCGTGGAGTAAGAAAGGTAGGTTAGACCAGCTCCTGAGAATGCCAAAATAATGGCAGTTGAAGACCAACAGGCCAAGAAAGCATTTATACTGGTTACCACTCTTTGGAGTTAAGTACAGCAGCTGTTTTGATGCTGTTTGTATTTTCTGCAAGTGACATTTTCCTTAGGATATAATGAAATCCACTACCTCCAGAGCTGTGCCAAAGGCAACTAGATTATACTTATGTCAAGGCAGTGGGGATAAAATGAGTAAAGTTAAAAAAAAAAAAAAGTGAGAAAACATAAGACAGAGAATCATCTGAAATTCATCCTTTCAGGACTCTGCTAAAACATTAACACCGGGTATGGAATAGGAGGCAGTTTGAGTTTTATGTCCTTAGATACAATTTTTTCATTCTTGATAAGCCTGAATGACAGTATATAGAAACTTAACATTAAAGGCTATTAATATTGGAGAATCAAGGCTCCACCATAATTAGAACTCTAATTATGAAATTTTAGTTAAAAATTTCAGTTATAGCTTTTTGTTACTGCCTTTCTTATTTGGTCTCCTTAAGAAGCAGGCCTGGGCTGGGGTTGTGGCTCAGTGGTAGAGCACTTACCTAGCATGTGTGAGCCACTGGGTTCAATCCTCAGCACCACATAAAAATAAATAAATAAAATAAAGTTACTGTGTCCATTTACAACTAAAAAATTTTGTTTTTCCCCAAAAGAAGCAGGCCCAACTCTGAAAAAGTGTGTTCTTCTTTTAAAAAAATGCTTAGCATACCGTAAAGAGATCACCCTGTTAACTGAAACATCCTAGAAATACAGGTCTTCAGTTTTAAGGGGGTAAAGAAACAAAACCCAAGAGATGCAAGCAAAAACAAGAAATACAGGAAGATAACACACATCTCCTGACTATAATGACAAACTGTCCCACAGAATTCTTGGAATAGCCAGCTATGATGGCTCAGGCCTATAGTCCAGCAATTTGTGAGGGTGAGGCAGGAAGGAAGACTGCAAGTTTGAGGACAGCCTCAGCAACTTTGCAAAGACCCTGTCTCAAAATACAAAATAAAAAGGGCTGGAGTGGAGCTCAGTAGTAACAGTGCCCCTGGGTTCGATCCCTAGTACTGAGAAAGGAAGAAAGGAAGGCAGGAAAGATGGATGAATTAATTCTTAGAAAATGTATGCTGGGTTTTAGAGAAAAAAACATCACAGAGTCATCTGTAAGTAGTCTTGTAAAGTTACTAATGACAAAAGCTTTGAAGTCCAAGAAAGTGAGAAGGCTAACTGAAGGGCTTTCAGATGACAGGCATAGTAAATCACGATTTCAAAGAGAAGGCTATTTAAAGTTATTTCATTACTGTACCTTATCGCCCTTTTTTACTGTTCTGGTTGTCAATTTACTGATAGCTTTCTTGGCTGCATCTCCAAGGCGACGCTACAGAAATGACAAATAAAGACAGACATTAAGTATAAGATCTTCAAATGATGGTCTTTATTTTTTAATAACTGAAGGTATAAAGTCCCTGTTATCCTACACCACTCTTTGTCATATCATGTAAGGGGAGTCTAAAAGAGCAATTCAAAATTAGAAATCTGGAGAATCAAGGATATATGTACCATATATTCTGTGTTCTGATTATATAAAAAGTTTATTATAGCTGGGTGTCATAATCACATTTGCATTTTGTGTTTAATAAATACGTTAAATATGAATGCATTATCACAATCTAATTCTGTGTACTCCAAAGATACTACTCCTGCTCTAACAGCTTTTCCACTATGCTCTAGGGATGATCACTGTTTGGGATATAAACCATCCTAGCAAAAGAAATCTTCAGTGCTCCTTCAAATTTTTATTACAGCATCTACCATGGTCACAAGTTCTACTCTTGCTCTGCTACTACTATGCTCTGTAACTTTAGGAAGGTACATTTACCTACCTACCCAGGGTCAAATTATTCTCATTTGAGAGGGTTAACTCAGATACTATCTCTAAAACTAGATTTATCCAACATTTTGCCAGACATTGCTAGCAATGTCAGATACTAATGACCCCAAAAGGAAAGACAGTAAACCCCTAGCCTCGAGACACTGTCTGCATTGGGAAAAGACTAGTAAACATATTCTAACCTAATGTATAAGACAGGCCACTCTGGGTGGGATGACAGGAAAAGGAGGCAACCTCATTTAGGTTGGGGACAGAGCACAGGAATGTCAGGGAAGGATTTGAGGAAATGATGCCAAAGCAAAGACTTGGAAAACTAAGAAGGAAGGAGTTAGATAAGACCATAGGATTAGGAAGATGGGTTTTAGACAAAGGAAGTTTGTAGACCTAAAGAAAAACTGGTGTAAAAAACAGGTGTGGGAAGGGATGTACACTTTAATTACTGTGAGCAGCTATTTGACTGCTCAAATCAGAATGCTTTGTGAGTCAAGAGTTCACACTGGGAGGATGGGTACAAACTGAAACTGCCCCAGGCATACTGGGAGAGATGGTCATTTATATACAACTGTAACTGAAACTGTGAGCAGAGGCAGATGCTGACGCTAAAGAAATAAGGTTAGGACTAAAATAAGGGGGAGACTTCAGATTCTCTCAGGGGGATTTTTAAAAAAATCACATTGTCTTTTAGACCACACTACAATTTCCCTAGTTATCTACAGAATGACTTTTAATAGCTGGCTTATTTGAATCAGGATACAAATTCAAACACTACACTTGGTTCCTAAGTCTCTAAAATCTCTTAGTCTGAGTTCTGTCTATCATACTCCCCCCCCCCCATTTTTAATAGTCTTATGGAGATATGACTTAATTACATATACTTAGAGGGTACACTTTGACATATATTAAATATTACACTTTGAAACTTTATGTACTTGTATTTTCAAGAACTACTTTAGTTGCATCCTCTAAATTTTAATACATTTAATTCACCTTCATTCAGTTTAAATTGTTTTCCAATTTCCCTTTTAATATCTTCTTTATCCCATTAATTGTTTAGAAGTTAATTTCCAAATATTTAGGGTATCTCAGAGATACTTGTTATTGATTTCTTACTTAATTTCATGTGATTAGAGAACATATTTTGTGTGAACTTGAATCCTTTAAGGAATCTATTGAAACTAACTCCAGAGGATGAGGTAGAAGGAATTTAAGTTTGAGGTCAGTTTGGGCAACTTAGGAAGAGCCTATTTAGAGAAAAAAAAAAAAAAAGAATAAAAGAGACTGGAGATGAAGTTCTGTGGTAAAATGTTCCTGGGTTTAATCCCCAGTAGCGGGGTAGGAGGGGAAATAAGAATCTATTGAGATCTGTTTTATGGTCTTGAGTGTACTTCAAAAGACTGTGTATCTTACTTTTGCTGGATGGCGTTTTCTATAAATGTCAATCAGGTCACATTTGGTATTTATGTTATTTGTATTTTATATACTTACTGTTTTTTTTGGTCTATTTATTTTTCTAGTTTTCAAGAGGGGTTTTGAACTCTCCAACTATAATTATAGTTTTATTTATTTCACACTGTAGTTCTGGGTCCTCACTTCAAGTTTTTGAAGCACTGTTACTAGACGCATAACCATTCAGGATTATAACATCCTCTTGTTCAAGTGACCAGTTTATTAAGAAGTCAATTTTATCCCTGGCAATAACTGCCCTGAAATCTACTCCAGTATTAATGTAGCCATATCAACTTTAATTTGTGTTGGTATGGTAAAACTTTTCATCCTTTTAACCTATTCTTATTTTTATACTTATTTGCTTATTGTAGTGCTTGGGATCAATCCCAAGGCCTCATACCAAGCTCTGTATCCCAATCTCTTAATCTCTGCTTCAAATGAGGGTATTTAGGCATATACTTTAGTGTGATTATGGATATGGTTATGTTTAAGTCTATCTACTTGGTATTTGTTTTCTCTTCCCTTTTCCCCTTTTTAGGCTGAGAAATTTAATGATTTTAATGACTCCATATATCTCCTTTGTTGATTATTATTTTAAAAATATTTATTCTTAAGTTTTAGGTGGATATAATATCTTATTTTACATTTATGTGGTGCTGAGGATAGAACCCAGTTCCTCATGCACACTAGGCGAGCACTCTACCACTGAGCCACAGCCCCAGCCGGATTATTATTCTTATTTGTGTTATTTTAGTGGTTGCTTTAGGATTAACACACACACATACACACACAAATATATATATATATATGTATGTATGTATGTGTGTGTGTGTGTGTGTGTGTATATATATATATATATATATTTTTTTTTTTTTTTTTTGGTACCAGCAATTGAATCCAGGGGTGCTTAACCACTGAGCCATATCCTCAGCCCCTTTCATCTATTTTTTCATTTATTCATTCATTCATATATTTATTTTGAGACAGTTTCTAAGTTGATTAGGGCCTAAGTTGCTGAGGCTGGCTTTGAACTTGCAATCCTCCTGCCCCAGCCTCCCAAGCCATGAGATCATACACATGCACCACCATGCCTGGTTTAACCCATACATATGTAATCACAGTTGAACTTCAAGTAATTATACGCATCCTGTACAATATGAAAGCCTTATACAGTATACTTTGATTCCCCTCTTGGCCTTTGTGTTATTGTTGTTATCCATTTTACTTATAAATAAATTTAACATACTCTACATAGTTATCATATTTCAATTATCTTTTTAAGTCATTAAAACATACATAACATTAAATTTGCCATCTTAACCATTTTTAAATGTACAGCTTAGTGAGTCAAATATACCACTGTTGTGCATCTCAAACTCTTAACCTTACAAAACAAAAACTATATGCATGAGATAGCTACTCCCCAATCTCCTTTCCTCCAGCCCTTGGCAACAACCATTTTACTTTCTGTTTCTATAATTTTGACTATTCTAGCTACCTTATAAGAGGAATCAAAGTGTTTTTCTTTGGCATATTTCACATTGCATAAAATCTTCAAGCTTCATCCTCATTATAGCAAGTCTCAAAATTTCCTTCCTTTTTGAAGGCTGAATAATATTCTGGTTCTATGTATATGTGACATTTTATTTATCCACTTATCTGTAGATGGGATCTTGAGTTGGGCTACTTCTGCCTTTTGCCTATTAACAATTATGTTGCTATGAACATGGGTAAAACAAATGATCTATTTGAGTCTGTTTTCTACTCTTTTAGGTATGAAACCAGAGTGGAGTAATTGCATCATATTAAAATTAATGCTGAACGTTTTGAGAAACTGCCATATAATTTTTCACAGCAGACACATCGCTTTACATATGTACCGGCAATACACGAGGTTCTAATTCCTCCAGATTTATGCCAACTGTTATTGGTTTTTTGTTTTTATATTAGCCATCCTAATGGGTGTCCAGTGATAACTCATATGGTTTTGATTTGCATTTCCTTAATGATTAGTGATATTAAGCATTTTTTATGTGCTTATTGGGCACTTATATTTTCTTTGGAGAAGTATATATTTATTCTTTGGTCTATTTTTAGTTTTTTTTTTTTTTTTTTTTTACTGTACTACATACAGTACAGTAAAAAGTTCTTTAAGTAAAGAGTTCTTTAAATATTCTGGATATTAACCCCCTTAAGATTTGAAAATATTTTGTCCTATTCAATGGTTGCCTTTTTGTTGTTTTTTTTAATGCATAGATGTTTTTATTTTTTATGCAATTTTATTTATTTCATTTTTTATTACAGAATTCTAGTTACACATAGAAGCTGGGTTCATTTTGACAAAATCATAAATGCATGGAATTTGATTTACTCCATTTCAGTCCCCATTTTCCCCACTTTCCCTCCTCTCGTCCTCCCCCTATTCTCCTTCCTCTATCTTACTATGCATAGATGTCTTTAATTTTGATGTATGTACTTCACTGTATCAATTCCTCCTCATTTCCTCTTGGTACCAGAACCAAGAAATCAATGCCAGATTCGGTGTTACAAAGCTTTTCTCCTACATCTTATTCTAAAATTTTATAGTTCTGGCTCTTGTGTATAGGTCTTTGGTCCATTCTGAATTAATTTTTGTAAACAGTGTAAGAGTTCAACTTCATTCTTTTGCATGTTGACAACCAGTTTTCCTACCACTGTTATTAAAGACTTTCCTAACCCCAATGAATGATCTTGGCACCCTTTTCTATTCTACTGGTATACAGATCTGTCTTTATGCCAACACCAAACTGGGTTGATTGTAACTTTGTAGCACAATTTAAAATTGGGAAGCATGAGACCTTTAACTTTTCCTTCTTTTAAAAGAATTTTTAGCTATTGAGGATCTCTTGAGATTTCATATATATTTTAGCATGGATTTTTCTATTTTGGAGGAAAAATAGCATTAGGATTTTGATAAGGACTTCAATGACTCGCTGGATCACTTTAGGTAGTACTAACATCTAAACAATTTAGAATATTCAATTCATGAACACAGGATTTCT